TTGCTGACGGAGCATCTGATGTGATAGTTGGGGTTAATCCAGAGCCTGAAATTGAGAGGCCACTGTTTGAAATCGTGGCATGCAGGTAAACGATCATACCTAACTTAGAGCATGGTGTGGTGGCCCACATTTGTGAAATGGGATTTGAGTATTATTTATCAGGAGAAGTCCCTAAATTTGTTGGTGGAAATGTTGTGGATTTTCTAACTAAAACTTTTGAAAAGGTTGATGGGAAGAAGAAGGACTAGAACTTCTTGTTGTTTATAGCGTGCACCCTGGTGGGCCCGCCATTGTAGATTAAGTGGAGGAGCAATTGGGTTTGAAGGAAGGGAAGCTTAGGGCAACAAGGCATGTGTTGAGTGAGTATGGCAACATGGGAGCTCCATCTGTGCACTTTATCTTGGATGAGATGAGAAACAAATCGATCGAGGAAGGCAAAGCTACAACTGGTGAAGGTTTGGAATGGGGTGTCGTGATTGAAATCAGACTAGGACTCACTGTTGAGAAAGTCGTGCTACGTAGTGAATCTATTGCATGCGAAAAACTTGCATGAAACAACGAGTACATTGGTTATGCATCTCACGTGTTGCGAGAGAATACAACATACCCGCCCATGCTGTAGCTAAGTTTTCCTTCTGGTCGGATAATCATTTCACGATCACAATTATTATGATTAGTTCCGTTCACATACATAAGAATAAGTCTCTTTGGATTAGAGGGTCCAAATGTACTGCTAGATCCATAGGCTTTAGTTTTTCATTTAATTAATAAGATTGTGTACTTTGTATTTGGTTTGGAGTAGCCGCAAATATGCATGCATTATTGTAAGATTTTGAGACATTAACAAAAGAAATTAAAGCATCTTCTTTGTTACAAGATCCAAGATCCCGAATCATGAGAAGAATAATAATGCACTATGTTGATGCACAAAATCAGTAGGGACTTTGGTACAACAGAAAGTGTTAAGTTTATGACCTTCGTTAGGTTGCTCTGGTCATTAGTGTGGATAAGTATGTAAATGAATAGAGACAGGGAAGCAATCAACACAAGATGTACGTGGTTCACCTAGATTGGCTACGTCCACGGAGTAGAGGAGTTCTCATTAGTTGTGAAGGGTTTACACAAATACATAGGTTCAAGCTCTCTTTTAGTGAGTTCTAGTGAATAGTTTGGTACAAATGACATTAGGGATTATTGTGGGGAGAATGATCTCCTTTTATAGAAGAGAGTTTCTAGCTTTGTTCTGACATTGACATGTGTCGTGTTGTGATTGGCCTCTGATATTGACACGTGTCGCACTGTGATTGGCTTCTGATATCGACATATGTCGTGTTGTGATTAGCCTCCTAGTTGGAGGAAAAGTCTTGTGGGTCATTGACGGTATGTTGTTGACCGGTGCTTAGTAATTTCGGGATTGGTCAAGTATGGTATAAACACACTAATATGGAGTAAAATGGTTGATAGGTCCCAAGGCTTTGTCTTATTAAGCTAAGAAAACTGGAATCTATACTAATTAAAATAATTAGTTGGTCCCCAGAGCATTATAGTGACAGAAAACAACGGTTTACAATATGACTCTGAAGCGCCTACTGCCTCAATGAGGGAGGGTCAAACATAGAAAAGATTGGTAGGCTATGAAGGGGATTTTTCAGTGTACCAAAATGATGGACCGGTATACAACGTATGATGATATAAGTAGAGGATGAAAAAAAAAAAAAAAAACTCTCTTTCAACTGTATTATGAAGAAAGTTGAGGTTCCACCATAAAATCAATTGACAATATGGGGAGTAGCTAATCTCTTATAAGCCTATACAAGGTCCTTCCACCCATCAATGTAGGACTCATTCTCAACAAACCCCTTACGTGTGATGAATTTTTAAGTCTAACACGTGTACAACATAACAGGGTGATGTGGAGCGCATGTGGCCATTTGGCATCACACATGGGACAACTAGCTCTAATACCATGAAGAAAGTTGAGGTTCCACCATAAAACCAATTGGCAATATAGGGAGTAGCTCAACCTCTTATAAGCTCATGCAAGGTCCTTCCTCCCATCAATGTAGGACTTATTATCAACATATTATAACACGTACTACATAATGTATCAATTCATGTTCCAAAAATCTTTGAAATTTTCTCACTAGGAAAGGGTCTAGTTTGGCTTTAAGAGATACTTTATTGATAACAAAAAAAAAAAAAAAGAATAATACTAGGTAGATCATCTATTGATACTAAATTTACAGACCATGTGATGTTTCACCAATAAAAAATAAACACGATTAACCAACACTTAAGTAATAATCTAATCATCAACAATTACGTCTTATAATTTACAAAATATTGTTTAAATAGCTGATATCCACAACTTTACCCTAAAAAAACATCTGAAAACGATGACATCAATCTTGCTTAGGCATTTCGTTTTCGGGGGTGAAAAATATACTTTATTAGCAAATAATGAGGTTTGTTTCTGTAGTTTATGTGAAATCTCATTTTAATATCTTGGGAGTTCATGTAAGGGGGGAATCTATGCATATATAACGCACAATTTATGTGGCAGATCTTTTATTTGAGATTGATATAAACTAAGAGGAGAGAGAGAACGAGAAAAGAAAAGGAAAAATCATAATCACTCATCAACAATAAGAAACAATTTGCAGCTGATGAGGTTAATCCATCAAAAGCATTGGCCATGTTAACTCTGAAATCTGAATATTTGCCAATTTCAATTTAGTCCAGTCCAGTTCGTTAGTCTGCTTGCCTGACGGAGTTTAATATTTATTAGTATTTCTTATTAGCGTTTCCTTCGGAGTTTACTATTTATTTAAACAGTACTTTATATTAGTTTGTTGTTATCGATTAAAAAAAAATTGAAAATATGACTTTAGCCTCTAAAGTTGAATTTTCTCTATATAAAACCCGACATAAGTTTTTTACTCTAATAAAACTCATTGATTAGATTCCACATTAGCATATTCATTAATTATATTAGACTTTACACGTTTAAAAAAAAAGATGATGCCTAAAATACCCCTATTTCAATGTTTGATGCACACAATTAATTCTATACGGATTGTAAGGAAGATTTAATGATTTTACAAAAATAAAAAAATAATAAATTTGTTGCCTAATATATAATAACAATAAAACATGCCTAATATATGTAATAATACAATTTACTCAATCAAATTATGTTTTACAAATAAATGTAGGTAAATTATTTCACAAACATACATGTATATAACAAAAAAAAACATGTCTAATATCGTAAAAATTCATGCGAAATAATTTACCTACAAAAAAATGTTATTTGATTAAGTGCACCTACTATTCAAATTTTAAACTGTCATATACTTAAAAAAAGCAAAATAATTTACCTACATAATAAAGCAAACTTTATAGATGCAAAGTAATGTACCTACATAGAAAATAATATTTTTTTAATTCAATACTACTTTACCTATTATTTATTTATACATATAATAATAAAATGTGCCCAATATATGATACATACAGAATAAAATACCTACATAATGAAGAATGTTATTTGATTCAAAATTAATTTACTTACAAAATAAAGAAATTTTATTTGATTCAAAATTAATTTACCTATTATTTGTACATATATCTTATAATAATAAATTATGCCAAATATATGTAATAATACATGGAAAATATATTACCTACTAAATAAAAGAATGTTATTTGATTCAACATTAATTTACCTACAAAATATATATTAGTTGCTCATCATAATTTATATATATATATATATATATATATTGAGCTTATGGTAGTACTATACATTCGAACGTGTATATATATGTTAGGGTAATAGTATGTGTAATAACTATTTGTTCATTGTAATTAAGGTGAGTAATTACATTTATTGAGTTATTTTGAATATTGTGGTACAAGTTGTAAATATCTTGTAATAATAGGTCAATTATTTTTCTACTTGGTAGTCATTTTCAAATTTGGATTTTATTTGAAAGTTTATTACTAAGTAGGTTTTTCTCTAAAAAATAAAAATTGCAAAGGTGTATATATAAAGAACTCTAAAAAAAAAAACCTTTCCTTTTCCCTCTCTTTTTCGGAGGCAAGGGTTTTTATTGTTTTCTAGGTTTTTCGTACTCTTACAAGTCCACAGGACTGGCTGGCTGCCCACTTACCACGATTTTAATATTTCGTGGTCATCGCATTTTCATATACGGCAAAAAAGTCAGATACATGCCAACAGACCGAAACTACCAAAATATAATAAAATAAAAACAGTTATTATTAGCAGAAGAAAGTGACTGGAAGTTTCAACTCGTAAGAAAAAGTGTGTACATTACTTATCTTAAAGCGCCGGGCACCCACGCTTTGACACAAATTGAAGTCATGTTTTCAAACGGTAGATTGTCCAAGGTGCATGCAGGCACTCGAGTAACCATATTTTTCTACGTCTATCATTTCACCCTTTTTATCGTTTGATTCCCCTAACTTTTGGATTTAAGTCCTTTTGTTACCATATATATTATGGGGTTTTTCGGAGACATATTTTTTATGCATATTTTGACACAAGTTTTTTGGGAGGCTTACTTTGTAATTTATTTTAATGATCCAACCGTTTATCTTTTATATCTTCCCTAAAATATCATCTCTACAAAAAATCACTCACATCTAAAGTCATATGACCGTTCGACAATACCTTATCATTTTTTCACAAAATTTATTCAAATTTTTTAATTTATGTTTCTTGAAGTTCTAATTTACTTTCATATTACTCTCTAACGTATTTACCCCTATAATTAATTACTTAAAGTTCAAAAACTTTATAGATTAAAAAATTGCATTAAACATTATAAAAACATTATGTCAAAAATATGAGGTATCAAAAAGTTCACGAAGAGTCTCGCTTTTGAGAAAGTCTCATTAACATTTCTCTCCCTTAAATTCCAGCAGCCATCCCCATAAAATATTGAAACCACTATCCTTCTAATATTCCACAAAAAAAACCCCTGTGGATCGTCTTCCTTCCTTACAAGCAGCCATCCCCATAAAATATGGAAGCCACTAACCTTGAAAGATTCCACAACTAACGATCTGATTGCTATATAAGATCGGAGTAGTGGCTTTCATTTTACTGCAACCTTTGAACTCCCCCTCTCTTTCAAGGTTTAACAAATCCCAATTCCATCTGCTATATCTTTAATGGCGCCTTTGGTTAAGGATCAAGTAGAGCCTCAACATGCCAAAATCCTAGCCATTGGCACTGCAAATCCACCAAATGTCTACTACCAAGAGGACTATCCTGATTTCTTGTTTCGAGTCACCAAAAACGAACACAGAACGGATTTAAGAGAGAAGTTCGATCGCATATGTAAGTGTACAATACATGCATGATATCCATGATACCACATATTTTTATATTGTAACAAAAACATATAATGGATGAAATTATCTTACAATCTGTAAGGTTTTTGACGTCTCTATGGAATACCAATTGATCTTAGGTTGTATACTCTGATTCTATCTTGTTATGAGGTTAAAGTGAATAACATCCCGATACCAACGGGTGTGTTCATGTCAAAATAAATGATGTTAATTTATATTATGAGGATACTTTCCTACTATGTCATGCTGAGAGAAACTTACAAATAACATTGTACTTTGATCAAGAATCTCATTTTAGTGGTTTAAGGATATAGAACCTAATCTAACAAAAATCTAAATTTACTATTGAATAGGTGAAAAATCAAGAACAAGGAAACGTTACTTGTACCTAACAGAAGAGATTCTAAAGGCTAACCCAAGCATATATACCTATGGAGCTCCATCACTTGATGTGCGCCAAGACATGTTGAACCCTGAGGTCCCAAAGCTAGGGCAACAAGCAGCACTGAAAGCCATCAAAGAGTGGGGCCAACCTATCTCAAAGATCACCCACCTCATCTTTTGCACAGCTTCTTGCGTTGACATGCCAGGTGCCGACTTCCAATTGGTCAAGCTTCTCGGCCTTAACCCATCCGTCACCAGAACCATGATCTACGAAGCTGGTTGCTATGCTGGTGCAACTGTCCTCCGCCTGGCCAAGGACTTCGCAGAGAACAATAAGGGTGCACGCGTCCTTGTGGTGTGCGCAGAGATCACGACCGTGTTTTTCCACGGACTCACTGACACCCACCTAGACATACTAGTGGGCCAAGCACTTTTTGCTGATGGAGCATCTGCTGTGATTGTTGGGGCCAATCCAGAGCCTGAAATTGAGAGTCCACTGTTTGAAATCGTGGCATGCAGACAGACGATCATACCTAATTCAGAGCATGGTGTCGTGGCCAACATTCGTGAAATGGGGTTTAATTATTATTTATCAGGAGAAGTCCCCAAATTTGTTGGTGGAAATGTTGTGGATATTCTGACTAAAACTTTCGAAAAAGTTGACGGAAAGAATAAGGATTGGAACTCCTTGTTTTTTAGTGTGCACCCTGGTGGGCCTGCTATTGTAGACCAGGTGGAGGAGCAATTGGGTTTGAAGGAAGGGAAACTTAGGGCAACAAGGCATGTGTTGAGTGAGTATGGCAACATGGGAGCTCCATCTGTCCATTTTATTTTGGATGAGATGAGAAAGAAGTCGATTGAGGAAGGCAAAACTACAACTGGTGAAGGTTTGGAATGGGGTGTCGTAATTGGAATCGGACCAGGACTTACAGTCGAGACAGCTGTGTTGCGTAGTGAATCTATTACATGCTAAATACTTGCATAAAATGATTCATACATTGGTTATGCATTTCACGTGATACGAGCGAGTACTGGATAACCGGTGTATACACACCCCTGCTGCAGCTGAGTTTTCTACCTAGTCAAATAATCATTTCACGATCACAGTTTTTGTGATTATTTTTCGTTTCACATATATAAGAATAAAAGTCTTTGGATTGGAGGGTCCACATATGTACGGCTAGTCCATTTGACTTTGGTTTTTCATTTAATTAATAAGATTGTGCACGTTATATTTAGTTTGGAGTGCCTGCTAATTATGCATGCGTTATTGTAAGATTTTGAGACATTAACAAAAGAATATTAAAGTTTCGTCAAAAAAAAAAAAAACAGTAGAATATTAAAGCAGCTTTTTGTTGCAAGCTCTAATTAAGCTCTGGGATCATGAGAAGAATCGCAAGGGTTTGTCTTAATAATAAGCTGAGAAAACTGGACTCTGTATTAATTAATTAATTAGCTGGTCCCAAGATTATTATAGTAACAGAAAACAAAGGTTTACTATCTGGTTCTGATGCATTTGTTGACTCAATTAATTAAGGAGGGTCAAACATGGATTATATTTGGTTGGCTAAGAAGAAGAAATATTCAATATACTCAAAACTTGGATTGGTACTCAAGGTAGGTGTGATAATATAAGTAGAGGAATACTTTGAAAAAAAAAAACAAATTTATGGTTATTTTTTGACAATAGGAATTAAGCGTAACTAATCAATATTTAAGTAATAATGTAATCATCAACAATTATATCATATAATTTATAAAATGTTATTTAAATAGTGGATCTCGTAGCTTTACCCTAAAGAAAACCATCTCAAAAGGATCACATCAATCTTGCCTGAGCCTTTTGTTTTTCGGGTGGTAAAAAATATACATTATTAGCAAAGAACTTGGTTTGTTTTTTTGTAGTTTAGGTGAAGTCTCGTTCTAATATATTGGGAGTTCTCTATGTAAGGGGCAAAACTGATGCATATAATGCACAATTTTTTGTGGCATATTTTTTATTTGTGATTGGTATAAACTAAGAGATGAGAGAGAAAAAGAAAAGTAAAGAAAAAAAAAATCATAACACTAAACGATAATAAGAAACAACTTGCAGTTGTTAGGACTAAGACACCGAAAGTATTGGCCATATTTACTCAGTATGCTGGTTGACAAGATTTGTATCCGCATATGTTTGTGGACAAACTCAAGTCATATAACGTCAAAAGTTTGATAAGGAGTGTTGAGATTTTAAGGTATTTTTAGTATTTTGCTTATTAGGGTTTGTTTGAGAGTTTACTATTTAATTAAACAATGCTTTGTATTAGTTTATTATTATCAATTAATGAAGGGGTAATGCTAGGAAGACTAAATTTACAAACTAAATGATGTGTCACCAATAAGATTAAGCACGTTTATCAACGTTTAAGTAATGAACCAATCATTTACTTCCATGTCTTTTAGTTTTCAAAATATTTTCTATAAATTTAATCTTTATAGCGTTATTCTTAATGAAGTGCCTTTTTCGTTTAGTATTCAACTCTTTTCTCTTTGTAAAAAAAATTAAATTAAAAAAATTAAAAATTAAAAAAATGTTTTCCCTGTCTCTTTTCGGCGGCCAGGGTTTTTTGTTTTCTAGTTTTTCGTTCTCTTAACCATGATTTTAATATTCTGTTGTCATAAATAGTAATGTACACCAATAATGCAAATTGAACATTTTAAAATATGCACATTAATTTATGATACTGCTTGGAACTATATATATATGCACATATAAATTGTAAAAAAAAAATAATGAAAAACTAGATTTTAATTCTTAAATAAGATGAAGTTTAGAAAAATATATTATATAAGATTAAAATTTGATTTTAGTTTCTAAACTCTATTTAATGTCAGCATACGTATTCAATTTCTCTCTTTTTTATTTATATTTTATGGTGTTCATAAATTAAATTTTATGAAAATATTATAAATTTTAATCTCATTATGGTAAGTATCTTATATAAAAAAATATTTTCGTAGAGATTTTTCGGTACACTTATGTTTTTGCGTATTTTCTTATGTGCCACTAATTTATTACAATATATTTAAGTACAAACATTTTGGTACACTAGATTAGTATAGGTATGGACATTTCGGTATACTAGTTTAGTATAATATATTTAGGTACCGACATTTCAGTACACTAGTTTAATATCATATATTTAGGTACGGAATTTTCGGTACAATTATGCTTTTACATATTTTCTTATGTGCCACTAATTTACTACAATATATTTAGGTATGGCTATTTCGGTACACTAATTTAGTCAAATATATTATGATATAGACGTTTAGGTACACTATTGGATATAAAAAATTCACCGCTAATCTGCTTGTAAAGACTGAGTGTATAATTATTTATAGTTTGGCGCTTTGTATAGTTTTGGAGATGCTCTTCAAAAGGAATTAACTTCAGAGTGCGAGGTAGCAAAAAGTCTATTTTGAGAAAGTCTTTTTAACAATTTTTCTTACATAATACATAGAAGTCTTGGTAAGAAAATAAAAAAACAAACACTTGGATCTGACAACCTATGTTCTACGTTTGTATATTTTAAGTAGACATTAATGAGAAATTGGAGTATTGATTTTTTTTTTCTAGGAAACATTAATGAGAAATTGGAGCATTTAAGTAGACATAATGAAGAATGTTATTTGATTCAAAATTAATTTACTTACAAAATAAAGAAATTTTATTTGATTCAAAATTAATTTACATATTATTTGTACATATATCTTATAATAATAAAATGTGCCAAATATATGTAATAATACATGGAAAATATATAACCTACTAAATAAAAGAATGTTATTTGATTCAACATTAATTTACCTACAAAATATATATTAGTTGCTCATCATAAATTTATATATATATATATATATTGAGCTTATGGTAGTACTATATATATATATATATATATATATATGTTGGGTAATAATATGTGACATCCCACATCGCCCAGGGGAGTGATCCTTATATGTATATACCCATCCCTACCTAGCACGAGGCCTTTTGGGAGCTCACTGGCTTCGGGTTCCATGGGAACTCCGAAGTTAAGCGAGTAGCGCATGAGAGCACTCCCAGGATGGGTGACCCATCGGGAAGTTCTCGTGTGAGTTCCCAGAAACAAAACCGTGAGGGCGTGGTTGGGGCCCAAAGCGGACAATATCGTGCTACGGTGGTGGAGCGGGCCCGGGAAGTGGTCCCACCTGGGCCGAGATATGACATTGGTATTAGAGCCTATCCCTGGCCGGAAATGTGCCGATGAGGACGTCGGGCCCCTAAGGGGGTGGATTGTGACATCCCACATCGCCCAGGGGAGTGATCCTTATATGTATATTCCCATCCCTACCTAGCACGAGGCCTTTTGGGAGCTCACTGGCTTCGGGTTCCATGGGAACTCCGAAGTTAAGCGAGTAGCGCACGAGAGCACTCCCAGGATGGGTGACCCATTGGGAAGTTCTCGTGTGAGTTCCCAGAAACAAAACCGTGAGGGCGTGGTCGGGGCCCAAAGCGGACAATATCGTGCTACGGTGGTGGAGCGGGCCCGGGAAGTGGTCCCACCTGGGCCTAGATGTGACATTTCTCAAATATTTTATGGTTGCATCTAACGTCTCGTTAGACTGCCTACGTACCCTAAATAGGGATCAAGCCATTCGTAGTTCATATAGGTACTTCAAGCATTCACAATAATTATATGAAGGTAATATACCTAATCAATTTAAAAGTGTCGATATAACTCTCAATAATATGCACAATAAAAAGGAAAAGATCCATTCACCTGGAGTCCACGCTATACTTCTCTAGCACACGCATCGAGGTGTCCTGAATGATCGGTCCCTGTGGCCAATTATCAAATCACATCTCAGAACTCTTATCCGTAGAATACGTAATTCACATAAAACACAACCTCAATGACATTGTAAAATAGTTTGATACCAATTGACCACAAGTCAACCGTCGATCAAAGATCGATGGTAGGGTTTACAACCCTGTATAACTTGACCCAGAAGATCCGTATATCAGATTTCCAATCCGTAACTCCCAACGATCCACAATATGTTTCTAGAATAACATATGTATTTACATGCATATATCTCTTTAATTTTGAGTATTCTACATTCGACTAATGATTTTAAATTTCGAGGATGAAATTTAATGTCACATCCCGGCCCGGGGGGCACCACTTCCCGGGCCCGATCCACCACCTTAGCACGATATTGTCCGCTTTGGGCCCCGACCACGCCCTCACGGTTTTGTTTTTGGGAACTCACACGAGAACTTCCCGATAGGTCACCCATCCTGGGAATGCTCTCGCGCGCTACTCGCTTAACTTCAGAGTTCCCATGGAACACGAAGCCAATGAGCTCCCAAAAGGCCTCGTGCTAGGTAGGGATGAGATATACATATAAGGATCACCCCTGGGGGATGTGGGATGTCACAATCCACCCCCCTTAGGGGCCCGACGTCCTCGTTGGCACACACGCGGCCAGGGTTAGGCTCTGATACCAAATGTCACATCCCGGCCCGGGGGGCACCACTTCCCGGGCCCGATCCACCACCGTAGCACGATATTGTCCGCTTTGGACCCCGACCACGCCCTCACGGTTTTGTTTTTGGGAACTCACACGAGAACTTCCCGATGGGTCACCCATCTTGGGAATGCTCTCGCGCGCTCCTCGCTTAACTTCGGAGTTCCCATGGAACCCGAAGCCAGTGAGCTCCCAAAAGGCCTCGTGCTAGGTAGGGATGGGATATACATATAAGGATCACCCCTGGGCGATGTGGGATGTCACATAATATGTGTAATAACTATTTGTTCATTGTAATTAAGGTGAGTAATTACATTTATTGAGTTATTTTGAATATTGTGGTACAAGTTGTAAATATCTTGTAATAATAGGTCAATTATTTTTCTACTTGGTAGGTTTTTGTCTAAAAAATAAAAGTTGCAAGAGTTTATATCTAAAGAAGTCTAAAAAAAAAAAGCCTTTCCGTTCAGCATTTCTTTTATTTGAAATTTATAACTAGGTAATAATAGTTACCAGTTGTAATAATAGGTCAATTATTTTTCTACTTAGCAGTCATTTTTATATTTGAATTTTATTTGAAAGTTTATAACTAGGTAAGTTTTTGTCCAAAAAATAAAAGTTGCAAGGATTTATATCTAAAGAACTTTAAAAAAAAATGCCTTTCCTTTTCCCTCTCTTTTTCGGC